CACCATTTATCCCCTCTATGCCCTCTTTCACTCTTCCCTATAATAACTCATGAACATTACATTTGTAAATGAAGGAAAACAAAGAGCTGTTATGTTCTTTAAATATAATTTAAAAGAATGGGAATATAAAAGATTTTAAAATTTGTATCATTTACTTATGCAACAAAAATATCTTACCGATGGTGACTATCAAAAATTTAAAGAGACTACCATTGGTAATTGTAATTGAACATTGATAATTATCTGTAGTCATTTCAAGTATACAATTGGAAATTAAAAAACTATATTATTCAAGCAACCTCAAAAATTATAAACATTTAAGATTTTTAAGAACATCTCTTCTAAATTTATATTTAGCATATTTCTCAATAAATTCTATATCATTTTTCTTATAATTATATAATGAACAAAAAGTGTCATATTTTTTCCATGAAACCCATATAGCCTAATCCCCTTCCAGTTTCCTACAGTGAGCCCATAAAATAACATAATTTTTCTCTGTTTGCCATGATATTAAAAAGGTTGAGAAGTGTTGCCTAATTCATGGAGAAGTAATATATGTCCCATCCCTGCAGCTGCTTTCATGGTCCTTAAGACTTTACACAATTATATATCACAAGCCTCTACCAGTTCAGGATAATTTCCCCCACATACAGAGCGAGCATATTGTCCCTCCACTTAAAGAGACCATGGCATTTGGAATGTCTTCCCCTCCATGCTTTGGGCCAGCCCTTCCTAGACTCTCTCTGAGCAGCAAGATCTCAGCCCTGGGCCTTGTGCAGCACACTTCACAGCCATGGAACACCAAATTCCCAGTTGTAGTGGTTGTTGAGGTATTACAGCCTTTTCCTCAGTACCACTACTAATTTATGTCTTTTGAAAGAGATATCAGAAGCCTGCCTTGGCCAGGCTAGGAGAGGTAATGAGGATGGAAATGATAGAAGCCACCTACTTTTCCTATTGGTCTGAGGCAGAGAAACTCCTAAGCTCCTGGATCCTCTAGAAACAAGGTCTTGTCTCTGGATCACTAGACACTATGTAGATCAGTATGTAGATAGTAGCTGGAGCCATGAGATTATAGTATAAAGTGGGATGAGAAAAGGATCCAGGACAGGGCCCTGGGGGAGGCACAGTTGAGCTGTGGGGAAAAGTAGAGGAGCAGCAAAGAAGACAGATTTGGAGCAGTCATATATGCATAAGGAGCAGAAAGACTGGAAGTGCAAGTGCCCTGAGTTGTCCTGAAAATCAAGGGTCCCAAAACTCACAGAAAAAGGAGCAAGAATCTTACTCTGTCCTTCACCTTAGTCCCATAGATGAGCCCCTTTCCTGTGATCCTTTCTTTCTCTGCCCCTTGACTCAAGTCTCAGAGCTCTCTTTTTGTCTCTCTCCTCATTACAGTGTTTCTCTCCTTTTCCAATGAGTCATGGGCACAACGCCTTGGGATCACCCTGCCTCAGTCACCTGAGGAGGCAGCAAGTCTCTACAGTTTATCAAGGCAGCCTCATCTCACTCTACTTCTTCTTCCAAATGCTCATATTGGTTACAGGTAGGAATCCTTATATGAGAGTATGATTCTCTGATATAAAAGGGAAAGGAAAAGGTGAAAGGGAGGGAAGCTGGAAGACAAAGTTTGACAAATATACAATGCTACTTTCAACAATAAAGCTTTAAAAAACAAAAAGAAAAAAGAAACAATGAAATACAAATGCTATGAGATCCTGGGGAAGGTAACGAAATTAACTTTATTTCACTTACTAAGTATCAGGCAGTGTAGTGGCATTTTTACTTGTATCTCCTGGTCCAGGCCTGCTGGTTTGTGTGTGTGTGTGTGTGTGTGTGTACCTGAGTACAAATGTATGAATGTGCATGTGGTGGGGCAAAGATTGAATGAAAGTAAAAGAGCCTCAAATGGTAATAAAGAAGCTTTAGAGCCACAAAATAATGTAGAATAATTTTGGGGGAAAAATAGCTTGTATGCCCCAGTTTCTCATGCCATGTTCATGGCAAACAGTAATAATGATCCTCCCATATCTTTACCACTGAGCTACTTCAGATTTTTTCTCCACACAGTCATCCAACCATACATTCAGAGTCATCAGAATTCCTCCCTCCTACTGACAAGGATGGAACCTGACCTGAAGGAGTTAGCCTGTCTATTTCCATCTCATGCAGTCACATTCCTCAGGTCCCTCCCCACAGGGGGAGATAAGTGAGGATCTTAGGGCCCAATTTTTCTAAGTCTTCACATGAGGATATGTTTTTCACTGAAGGAAGATAGAGAAAGAGAAAGACAATCTATGTAAGAAAGAAACATCAATTGGTTGCCTCACCTATGTGCCCTGAAGGGGGACTGGTAATCAAACCCGCTCCCTGGGTATGGGCCGTAATCAGGAATCAAATTGGACACCTTTGTCTATATGGGATGATGCTTCAACTGAGTCATACCAGCCAGGGCTAGGGCTCAAGATTTAAAGGGGCACTTGATTTCAGGATCTTGAGGACCCAGCACCTGTACCCCAAAAGTGAGTGCCTCCTCAAAATTTATGTCCTAGGTCTTTTGCTTGCCTCATTCAGCAAGGCCTAGACATCCTATTTCCAACATCTCCAACTATGTCCTAGCTCTGTGTG